ACACTGCTCCTCCGTTCCATTCCTGGTCGAGACATGTTCTCCAACTCCTCTCCACGTATATACTTCCGCTCCTCCGTTCCATTCCTGGTTGAGATATGATCTCCCACTCCAATCCTCGTATGCACACCACTCCTTTGTTCCATTCCTGGTCGAGACGTGTTCTCCCAATCCAACTCATTGTATGTAATCCTGTCTGTATATACCACACCTCATCCATAATGATTGTTCCTTCTCTTGTAATGATTGTCACATGTATGTACCTATGCTATCCCAACACCTCTGCTGTATGCTTTTGGCATTGGAACAGGCACAGCACACCACAACGTACTTGTCTGACGCATGTCCTAAGGCATAATGCCAGTCAAATTTGTCCGGGATCTTCATGTTGACAACACAAATGTACTCAGAGATTGGAATTTGGTGCCAGGAATAGTTTTCCGATCCTCGGGAATGTCGCCACAATTTTTTCACTTCCCTTGAGCAGAAATTGATTGTTTTTGAAGTGTGGTCTCAAACCGTGATTGATAAGTTGAGACGCAGAGACTATATTTGCACATCCATTTGGGACATGATACACCGGATTAATAAAATAATCACCAATCCGCAGAGTTCTGACGTGAGTTGATTCAACCGGTGACGAAAACGTATTCATAAAGTGATTGGTGAGTGGCTGAACATCAGTGAGAACTTCAAGATTAATCACACATCACTACAAAAAGTGTTGGATTGGATTTTGAAAATGTGATCCAATCCTTTTTGTAGTGCATGATTGTGTGGCACCTGTATCAAACACTAAGAATCTCGAAAAATATTCGCGTGAAGCATGTTGAACCGTAGCAACAAAAAAATTTGAGCAATCGAAGTCGACATCAAATGGGCTTTGACTAGTTTCGGAAGGTTTACCATTTTCATGAACCATTCCTAACATGTTACTTGAGGCGAATTTCTTCATTAAATCCGTCAACTCTCTGACTGATCTCTCAATTTGTTGAAAACAATTTTCCATCGCATCGGAGCTCTGAGGTTTTGAGTAGGACACATGATTGCTGGTACCTTTTGCATTTCCTGCTAATTGGTTACCATTATTTACCTTTGGAGCAACCGCTTTTGGTTTTGACTGTTTATTCTTCTTCTTGTTTGGTTTTGAGAATGTGTTTGACTGCGACGTAAACATAACACTTGATTGATTTTCAGAGCGAGTTGTTTGTCGTGCAGCTTCAATCCCAACTTGATCAGTTACGTTTTTTGAGATTAAATGGTTGCATATCGTAACACATTTGGACAAGGGATGCAAGTTCAGGATTGTTTTTGAGGCTCTCTAGAAAAATTGCGGCGGCCATAAACGAAGTAACCGTGCCAAATTCTTGAAGATGGTTTGCAGTTTGATCAGCTAAACAAGTGTAAGCACTTTTAAAACTCGAAATATGATTGGCTAGTGATGTACCAGGTTGGTACTTCATTTGGTTCACTTTTCGATAGGCAGCACAAATTGTAATTACTGAGTTCTGCCCACACGCTGAAGCCAAAGCGTCCCAAGCATCTTTACATGATGTGTTGTTTTCAAGAATTTTGTTGTGAAGATCCTTGCTGACAGCCCCGTATAACGTGTTCAAAGCTTTATACACTACAAACAATACTGATTTTGCCCCAGGGAAAAATGGCAATTTGGATGGTGGAAAATAGATCAATTTTCTGGCACTTTTTTTACAAGATGCCTCAGGAGTAAAAAATTAGGCTAAAATGAGCTATTTTAGCCAAAAAATAAAAATGTCTCAAATGAGCTAAAAATTCATTTTGGAATGTTTGATGAATTTCTATCTCTGGGCTAAAATAGCTCAGTTTAGCCTAATTTCTACTCCTGAGGCATTTTGGAAAAAATTTCCAGAAAATTGATCCATTTTCCCCCACCCAAATTGCCATTTATTTTTGGGGCAAAATGGGTATTGCTTGTAGTGATAGTTCTTGTTGATATATTTATTGGCGTTCTTCTCATCTTTGACCCATTCTTTGTCAAACAAGCAGTAAAGCTTATGACTCTTGGGGTAAAACGTAAATCTTGATTTCCATTGCACCCAATTGAATAATGTGAGTTTCTCAATTCGTATCGAATCCTTGTTATCGGAAGAATCGGAATCACTCATTTCGGGTCCTGTTTAGCTCAACTTGTTGTTTACTCTAACTCTGAGCTGCTGATTGATTCAAGAGTTGACTCTCGCTACCACGTGATGACACAAAGAGTTCTCTTTATTGCAAATATTATCACACAGCCAGTAGTAGTAGAAACTAACAAGAGAGAAGAAAGAAATAAAGATAATCAAATCAAAAGAAACATTAAGCATCACATGATCAAGTCAATGACATCAACAGAAATTACCAACATCTTTTGAGAACAACAATTGCAACGACTAAACAGAAAGATTATCACTTGAAGAAACAGATAAGCCTTGAACAACGAACTAACATCAAGTCATGTTTTAGTTAACTTGAAAACATAAAACAAAAACACAATAGATAAGAAAAAACAACAAACAAATAAACAACTCCTAAATTCGAGTGATTGTTGATTGTTGCTCCTCCTGGATTGATGTAGTTGGTGTTTTGCGTCTGCGTGTGTTTAAAGTATGATTGACAATAAGTTTTTAGTCGCAGTGTTTGAGATAGATGCAATAATACCTTGATCCGTCTTGACCTCTTTATCTTGATGTTGCTTGTGTCTTGATTCTTGAAGTCTTGACGAGATTGAGAGAAGAAAGAAAAGAACTAGAAACCATTGACAGTCCAGTTTGACTACAGTTTGCTGACTGTGCTTATCTAAGCAATTTGAAATGTACACAACACACACTTCCACGTTCACGCTTACTTCACATGTAACTCCTGCAGCTGATGTTGCTAGTTATTTCTCAACAGTTTCCTGCGCACTCCTTTGACATTATATACGTGATGCAACTCCTCAAATTGGTTGCATTGTTTTCCTTGATGGCAGCTCTGCAAGCTTTTGTCAAGGCAGATGACCCAGTGTTCTCTTGCCCTCGATCCAACTCCTAAGGGTGGTGTGGTACGTTGCTTGGTGGTGATGGCAATCTTATGCAAGTATGTACAGCCCCTTGACAGAAAAAATGGAACCCTTTAATTCGAGTCTAGAGGGCAAACCAATGGACTTGAATTTATGCTTCTTGGTGAAACTGTGGAGAATGAGTTCCAAAGAATGATTCTGTAAAATTGGAATGGAAAATCTTTTGTAAAGATTTTGTATTTTTTTTCCCCATTTTATGAATTTTTGGGTATTTTTCAATCATTTTTCAAAGAAGCTCAGAGAATTATGATCAACACAATTGCATGTGAAAAGAATGATTATAAATGAAAAGTTGAGAAAAATCAATGATCCAAAGTTTAGAGAGCTGAAGAAGTTGGATTGATATTGAAATTGAATTCAATTTCAGTGCCTGATTGCAGGGTTGGTCTGGTGGATGACACAATCCAAACATGCTTAAAAAAGCTGTTGCTCATTTTTATTTTATTTTTCATTTATAATCATTCTTTTCACATGCAATTGCATTGATCATAATTTTCTGAGCTACTTTGAAAAATGATTGAAAAATACCCAAAAAATCAGAAAATGGGGAAAAACATACAAAATTTTTACAAAATATTTTCCGTTTCAATTTGTCAGAATCATTCTTTAGAACTCATTCTCCACAGTTTCACCAGGAAGCATAAATTGAAGTCCATTGGTTTGGCCTCTAGACTCCAATTAAAGGGTTCCATTTTTTCTGTCAAGGGGCTGTACACTACACCAATGGTCACATTCATGAAGCCCATTTTGATATGATAAGAACCAATCATCTGTAGCCGTTGAACATTCATCAGAGTGTTGGTCCTTTATTTTTTCCAGTGGATGTCACCACTGAAGTGGGCCATTCACCCAAATATGGACCACCTTTGACTGTCACAAACTTCCAATGCTTTGGGAACCCCCAGAGCATGTGGTGTTGTCCGCTCCATTCTCTCACCTTTACTGTGAGTGAGTTTGCACAATACAATGTATGGGTTAATGTTTGGAATGATCACGCTGATTGCTTTATTTTTCATTTCCCTTGTTGATTGGGCTCTTGTAGCCCGGCACAAACCAAGTTAGTCATGCACAGATCACATCCACCTGTCAACCCCAAAAAGGAAACTAGAATTTTATCTTCCATTTTCTATAGCTGGGCCCGAATAGAAACCATAGCCGTTCTATGTAGATGAGCTTCCTGAGCTTTCCATGCTGAGGTCTCAATGTGCATGAGTCAGTGATATTGTCATCAATCACTTGAGATATGAAGCCAAAAATTATCAAATTGGATTCACCAAATTTCATCAGATCCCTTTTTTGATAATTTCACCATGGTTTACCAATCAGCCAATACTTAGAGACTTGTGAAGGAATTGTTCTATTTGAGTAAGCTGATATTATGGATTGCAGACATATCAACTAAATATCATGTTTGTCTTTAGCTCAGTCTGGGGCATTGTTATTTCTAACCCCTGATAATTAAGTTTGATCTTGCCATGAAATACTGGCTATCGGTCATCTGTGTGTGCCACATATTTTCTTTCCCTCAAGTTGGTTTTTTTCTCAGTTCCATTATCACAGATTATATATCCTCAAATCACTCTGTGACATATTTTAACTACTCTTAAGTGGTTTATAACCACCCATCATCAATAAAAGCTGCTGAGATCATAGCTATATAATCAAACAACTTCATTCTCCCCCTTTCACTTGGATATCAATATTCTCTTGTTATAACCCCTTATCTACTCATAAAATTTATTTGGATCTCTGTTTGATTTTACTATCAAAGCCTATATTATTTTTCCTGTTTGTATTTTTCTTTTGTTTGTCATGCCAAGTCTTTTCGGAGGATGCAACAGCCGCGGAACCTGAAGCATGGATCTAATCTTGAAAGTATTAAGTTGAATTTCATAATGATGTTGAATTCCCAGAGTCAAGAAACCCTTCAAATTGAAGGGGCGTCGAAGGTGCACCAGTGTCCGTCCTGGAGACGGGGAGGAGCGCTTAGTGTGCGCCTCCCCCTGATTAGGGCTTGAGGTATGTTAGGTTCGTCACACTTGCCTAGTTGATGCGGGTACTTGCAACTTGTGAAGATGGGGCCTGCACTGCCGCTGCACTTCGGATTGCTGCATGTAAAATATTCCACGTAACTGTGGAAAGGACAGTGACCATGTATGCCGGCTCGATCACAGGTGAGCACGCTCTTACAGGGTTGAGATACCGTGGTCTTTTGCCATTTGGCTTCGCACCGACATTTTTCGGGGATCTTCTGGGTAGGTTCCGTGCCGCTGAGTGTGAGTTCATAACCGATCCGTTCCGGTCCCGACTCGTAGGCGGAAATGAAGATGAACATGGAGCCAATTAGGCAAGCTGCGACTATTCGAGCGAGCATGGTTTCCTTGAGCCTTGAGGATCGATATTGATTAGTTTATACGCTGAAGCCGGTTCGACCTCGCACTGTGGCGATTATCGGTAGACGATGGGTGTTGAGAGCTTCCGCTTGGGCTGGGTGGGTCAAAGTCCGGGCTGGTGTCCTGGCGACAATTGCAAGACGAAGTGCTAAGCGGGATAGAGGATGTCGGATGGAGCCCCTGTGGGGTCACGGACGCTTCCTACTGGGATGTCCCCTACTCTTGGTTCGCACTAGGGGGTTTCAGACAATCAAACTTGTGCCTGCATGTAATAATTAGGACATCGACATGCCTTTTTCTGGATCAAGGGGCATGTTCAGGGTTGAAATCTGGACTCCTTACGGCTGTCGCCGCCTTTGCGCCTGTCTTAACTGGTGTCCTGACATCCGGATAATTTACGAAAGCAAGAAGAATTGGATCAAATCACGCGATCGACGGGAAGACGCAGTTTCAAAAGCATACAAATACGGCCGGGTCCGAGTGAAGGCGATGAAGGCTCATGAAGAAGTTTATAACTCGAGTCTCGATCGTGTTTTATGGCCGAAAAATTGTTTCCCCATCCGATGTCATTTGTGAATGAAACTCGTAGGATCAAACCCTGAGTTCGACTGCTCCGTGCACACCTGCACACCCCAACCTGGAGCTTCCGCACTTGATAAATCTACTCAAGCCGGGCCTGATCGGTGAGCAATCCGAAGAGGAAGGACTGTTGGAGAAATTAGGGATGTTATTTGACGTCCGTTTGGGCGCAGGCCGAAGTTGCGCTTCAGTCCGACCCGGCCGCCTCACGCAGAGAGTGAAACCATGGCCGTAAGGCGCGCTACCTTGCATCCCCCCTCCGGGCGGAAGAGGGAATGGACTGGTAGGGATGGCGGCGCCGGTCACGGACTGGCTCAACACACATTGGGCGCCGGTACCCCCCTGGGGCGAAGGGGGTGTGGGCGCGCGGGCGCGCCCAAATACCCAAAAACGCCCTCCCAGGTCTTAGTACTAGGGCCCAGCCTTGACTGAGCTTTCGAGGTTCGAGGTGACGGAACGATACTGGTGAGCTGACCGATTTTGTAGTGTCATTTTGGTCATGCCATGGAAGCCGTATGGACTCCTGCCATTCTCCACGGCGAATGTGTCATTCTGCGAACACTATAAGAGAGTTGAGTCAATCTCCCATTGTTCCTTGACTCTTGGAACTTTGCATGGGCAATGAAACTTGTCGTTTAAGAAATCTCTAGCAGTCCGGCCATGCTCAACCCTTGAAGAAATGAATGAGTACAACATTGTAGCGAAAAATTACATTGCCGAACCTCAGCCTCAACCACCAGGGCTTCAGCTGTGTCTAGAAGGCCTGGTGGGCGGGTTGACAAGTTCTTGGAGGGTAAAGTTCTCAGCAGATTACATGAAGCTAACTTGAATAAGTCCTACTGACAGTGGCATCAAGCGCCTCTGCCAGAGGGACTTATCAACCTGTTGTTAAATTTTGTCTGAGAAGAATGGCAGCTATGTACCATAGGATTTTGTTTCTCCATCTCCTGGCCAAGTTCTCGGCCAAAATCAAATGTGAACCCACATACAAATATGTATGTATTTGCGTAGAACAATCTTGCAGAATATTCTTTCCTCCTCGGTGATTTGAGGAGGCTGCTTTGACAGACTGCGATATGTAACGATTGTGAATGTATGAAAGTTGTACCTTTGGATTCCAATGACCCCCCAGGGGAATGTAAGCTGAGTTTTGCCGGAGGCTGCATCCTATTCCTAGCGCCCGGCCACCTTCTGCCGTGGTTACATGTGATGCTGTGCGGTATGCCAGACGAAATCTAAACAGGTATACAGCGCCGCTCTGCCACTGGTGTGCCCATGTTCGTGAGGCACACTGGCGTTGTGTATCCCCTCAATCCCAGGCACTTCGAGATGCATATAAGGAGCAGGGTGATTGATAGAGGTGACCCGACTTCGCCCACAACGTCCTTTTGCCAAGTCTAAATTTCTGATCAAAAGCCATATACCGGCATTTTTTTCCTTGTCAAACTGTCAGACCCGTCCTCTAATTACCGACAATGTTCCAGATGAGAACTGTTTCGCGAGCGAACGTGGCTACCTATGTTGTGATTGCGCTTGCCATGTTATGTGTCCAACTCTTAGCAGCCCACCATAAACACACGTCCAGCGGCGGCGGCTCCGGCGACCAGAAACAATGCGTCGAATCCGTCATTACAGGACCTCGGGACAATAATCAGATTTGTAAGTTGCGGCTAATAATTGCGCTTTTCGAGAGCAGCTGGTGTCGTTTCTTCAGCGCCCTCTTCATATCCACAAGGACAGCCGATGACAAGCTGCCTTTCTGCTGCCCATCCACAGTGTGCGAAGTCTCTAAGGACGTCTACTATGCTTGCGAAAAGAGCAACTGTAACTCAGGAGGGAGTCCTGGGGAGGACCCTTCTGTCCATCCTTGTAAGATAACCTCTATCAATGCGTGTGCACTTCAACCCATAAAAGAAGGCGGATATTGACGACTTTTGTTGTGATGGGCGTCTGGATTTTTTTTTGGGGGGGGGGGGGGGACTAATCTATGACAGTTTCGAAGATGACCTGGGACCAATGCGCCCAAGCTCCCGGGACCACTCGGGACAGAAAAGTGACCGGAACACTGACCTATCAGGTCGACCATAAAAACGGCGTCATGGGTACGTTATTCCTGACTCTGACCTTCGCCCAGTCGTTCAACACCTGATTTATATACTGTCCGTCCAGGCGTCAGAGGGACCGAGGATGGCGTCGCCGAGGACCACTACTACGAGTGCTCTCAGAGCGCAAACACCAAGAGATCTTGTCAGTCTAATTTTCGATCTGTTCATGGGAGTACATAAAAGGCGGAATCCAAATGACTCACCCTCACCCACCTTCTTATATATATCTTCATCAGACTGCACCGGCTGTCAATATGTTAAGCTTGGCCCACTATGAATGTGATCATTCTCGAAAAAAACAGCCACATCCAGACCTTGTTTTGTGAGTGAGTGTTTTTTTTTGGCTGGAAGTGATTCAGAGACTTATGAATATGCACGCTCCTTCTTCATAGGGCTGATTGGACTGCTCGTCGGGGGTTCTGCAAACACTCCATAGGCTTTTACCAATCACTCGACGAGACGGCCACGACTTTCTCCAAACAGTAATCGATCTTGTTCATATATATATCTTTCCTTTTGTATTTGACTTGTGTGGCGTAAATAATAATATTTTTTTTTGAGAGAGATGGAAATGGTGTCGCCGAGTATGTTGTTGTGGGCCAGAAGAATATGGTCGCCTTGCTTGATGGCTCACATTGTTGCTCTCGTTGGAAGGGAAATTGAAGACGCCAGAAAAAGTAGCACATATCGATGACTAGAGTTGATTATAGTATACTTGCTTGTTTGTGAATGAAGCAGTCGATTGCCCCCCCCCCCCCCGGGTCAGCCGATATCCGTCCCCGCCAGTCGCATATAGCTGATAGATGCCTTGCTCCAGTGATGATCAGCTTTTTTTTATGATGCTTCTTGGTAAAACTGTTCATGAGAATCTCCATATTCCCTAAATGTTGAACGTTTTTTTTTTAAAAAAAAAGAAGTATTTCTTGTTTTTTGGAATGTTTGAAATGATTTTACCATTATTGAGGTTACAAGCATGAGTGTGATATGTACGAGGACTTGAAATGAAGAGTTGAAGAAGAAGAGTTTTTCCCAAGATGAGGAGGATTGAGATTGGAATATACAAGTGTACATAAATAGCTGTGTTATTGGCAGCCTTCGCGTTGGTTCTGCAGCCCCTACAAACCCAGATTTGTAAGCCCTTGAATCAGAATTCCCTGCAAGATCTGAGTTCAGCGGGTTCAAATCTGATTCTGTAGGGTCTACAGATAATGACGGCAAGTCCTCGATTGCCAACTTGATTAATATGTAGTTCCTGGCGAGCCGGGTTGGACAAACCAATCACACCCAGAACCACACACAAAACAACCACCCAACAGACACACACAAACAAACAAACACCTATTAGGCCAGGAGACGAGACGAAAGGAAGCGAGGATGGCAGCGAACGAGAGAAGCTCGCCGAGGAGGGTGGCACGAGTGCACTGTCTTATGGAGCTCGCCCGCACAACGGCGGACCAGGAGGACTTGTTACCGGCGCGATTCAAGACGGAGGTGGCGGGAGAGATGAGCGGGCTGAGCGGGCGGGACAAGCTCGAGGTGGTCTTATCACTGCGGTCGTCGTCGTCGAGCCAGCCTGCGGACACAAGACGACGACTGGAGACGAAGCGATTGGAGCGGATTCTGTGTCTGATCTATGTGGAGATCGAGCGCCATAAGGCGCTCCTCGACCAGTTGTTGATCGATGTAGAGGTGCTCATCGATGGCTTCAGTCAACGAGACCGGGCCGATTCGGCCTTCTTCAGTCCCTCCTCCTCCACCCTTGAGACAGAGGATGGTCTCTTTAACACTCTCGCTCTCGGCGGCACCTTCGATCATTTGCATTCCGGACACAAGATCCTGCTCACCATGGCGGCTTGGTTGACGACTCATAGATTGATCGTTGGGATCACAGGCCAGTCGCTCGTATCCTCCATCCTCCCCTTTCTTCCTAACATATATAACAAAGAAAGAGCCCCCCTCTTCCCGCTAAGACTAACACGTCAATGCTTCCGAAATTGGATGGAAACCACAGATGATGAGCTGCTCAAGAACAAGAAACATGCGAGCCAACTAGAGACAATCGAAGTGCGCCAAGAAGCCGTCCGAGCGTTTGTGGAAAGGGTGGGTCCGAGCGACCTTCGGACGGAGACGCCGCGGCTGCAGGACGTGTATGGCCCCACGGCGACCGACCCGACGATCGACGGGCTCCTGGTCTCCCTCGAAACTCTGCCCGGCGCCAAGGCTATCGACACCATTCGCGCCCAGAACGGCCTCACGTCCCTCAGGACTTACGTCATCGACCTCATCAGTAATCAGCTTACTCTCGCCCAACTCGATCAGCTGAACCTCAAGATCAGCAGCACTCAGATTCGCGCTTGGCTCGATTCTCATTAACTCCATTCCTTTCTCTCTACATAGCTCGGTTTCTCATCCTTGTTTGTATCTCTACATATTCCTCCTCTGTATCCTCAAGATGACTCTTTTCTTTTCTGGGAAGTTCAGATCTGTTTTTTTTTTCCCTTGTGTATTCATCATACCAATGATCTTTGGAAGAGAAAATAATCTCTTTCAAGTTGTGTGCATGTGTTTTGAATCAAGAGGATCCCACAAATCCGAATTTTGCTTGTCATTTGTGTTTAGTTTTGTGTCTATGTAAGCTATACACAACATAAAAGAAGAGGAAAGTATGATATATAAGCAAAGCACAACAAAAAAGAGAGGGGGAGAGAGAGAGAGAGAGAAGAAGAAGCGATTAAATCTCGTCGATGAGCCAAAGATCGTCGCCAAGCCAATGGACGTTATCGACCCCGACGCCCTTATTTTGGGAGCGCATATCCGCGGCGGATTTCTGGGTGAAGCCGACGGCACAGGGGAGCGATTTGTCCTGGGCAAGCACGGCGACGGGGGTATGGAGGGGCAGCTCCGGCGGTAAGCGGGCGCCCGCTGAGGTCAATCCCGGACACATTATGTTCGCCCCCGAAAGCACAAACTTGATCGCCCCTCGATCTACTTGCACTGTCGGTAATAACATCGGATCTGTTTTTTTTTGAAGCAACACAAAAAAAAAAATGAACGGGGGGTTTTGGACTCCCTCTTTCTTCTTGGAGGGGACCGGTTGGAGACGTACATTGGTGTAATAGCTTTAATGTCGGGAAATATGGGCCGTCGAAATGTTGGAAGAAGAGCGGGGTTTTTTTACAGACCAAGATGGAGACATGTTCTCTACTACGAGCCGAAAAAGCACCGACCAAAGAACGAAGGGATCAGTTATTGGAGACAAGTCAAGAAAGACGCCTGACTGGATGAGGAATAGACATACCATTTGAGTAGATTGAGCGATTCTTTTTTGGGCCACAGGAATTCGAGGAGCGTCAATTCCGGAGTCTCGGGTGAGACCGTAGGAGCAGAGGACTGGGAATCGCTTTGTGGTGGGTTCTGAGGATCGTCGAGCAGGAGGATAGGATGGTTGAGGGCAGGAAACTGTTGGCTGAGTTTGGCCCGGATGGCTCGTTGGGTGGATGACTTGATGATCGTGTTCGAGGCCACATCTTCCTTCACTGTGAACCTGTTGATATCATTCAGTTTTTTTCTTCAGCTTAGCTTGGTTTTGTCGGGATACAGTCACTCACTTTTTGAACATCTCCTTCTGTTTTTTTTTCTTTGGATTTGGTTCTTGGCTGACTCCTTTCAAGTTTGAAGTGTTTGAAAGTTTGGAGGAGGGCTTCTCGGCTGCGGCAAAGCGGGGACGGGGTTTCACAGATATGTACGCGTGACAGATGGATTGTTGGTGACATCTGTCGATCGACTTTGGCCAGCCCGATCTGCCTGTTGACCATCAAAGCTTAAAAAGCGGAGCCACTTGGAAAGAGAAAGAGAGGACGATGAGCTTACCTTCGTCAGTATCTCTGGCCGTTTCCCGAGTGGAGAGATTGGACTGAATTGAAACTGACATGCACTGACACCCGCTAGTAGCCTCTTTCGACAAGCGAATCGGATCCTGACGATCGCATCCAGCAACATCACGCTAAGACCATCATCAACGAGACAATACTCATCATCCTCGAGTCGAACGCCCTTAACGTTGGACGATGTATTACCAGCGACGCCAACCAGCAGCTCACCATCGATCAGAGAGGGAGGCGGGGACCTCTCAGGAGCCACAGAGGATTATCAGCAGAGCTTACCACCAGGACGGCCTCAGGAGCGATTTGGAACTCGAGGCGGATTGCCACACGGGATCAATCGACGGACGGCGATCGAGCTCGGGGCGGACCCTTTACGACGACGGTCGGGCGAGAAGAGCCACTACAGCTTACTAGTTCATTCGACGCCGAACAACACCCGTTTGACGTTGACGCACACCCCGGTGGCCTATCTCCCGGGCAGTTCGCCGGGCCATGCGGGGTTCAAGAATGCCTATCCGCTCGCCGGGGCCGTGGTAGCCCGAGTGACCGCCGGATCGGTCGGCTTCAAGCGCGGCCGAAGACAGGAATACGAGGCGGCGACCCAGGCCTGTCTGGCCATGTTCGCCAAAATCAGAGAGCTCATCAAGCTCCCCACCGTCGCTAGAGTCAACGCTAATCCCGCAGTCAGGGAGGGCGTCCCAAGAGAACTCGAGCTCGTCTTCAACGGCTTCGGAATCGGAAGAGACGCCTTCCTCGCCTCCCTCCTTAACTCCCAGGCTACCGATCTTAGGGAACTCGTGCGCTCCCTAAGAGATTCTACTGTCGTTAAAATCGGAGGGCCTAGACCTAAGAAACGCAGGAGAGTTTGAGGTCTTTGGTTTCCCAATCTCTTCGGTTAAATTCCTGTCTAATTCTTCTCTACTGAACCCCCAAAATAACGAATCCCAGCCCATTCGCCTGTTTTTTCTAAAAATCTCGAAATTGCATCCACCCCACGCTTTTTTTTTTTTTCTCCGCTGTCCATTTACAATACTATTCCAGTTATGATCTAAAAAATAATCGAGTTTTCTTTGTGAGAGAGAGGGAGGAGGGAGGAGGGACAGAAAGGCATGAGATGTAATGTCGAGGACAGCTGTAAGTAAAGAGGCGAAAGAGCGATAAGTTGCGAGCTCAAGCTCAGGCTTCAGTTTAAAGTCGTCGTTGACGGTTCTACCAGGACTAATATCCCATGTTCAACCAGGAGACACTTCTTAGACGGCAAGAGAGCAGTGCATAACTACCAATTCACATGAAAATCGTCGATCTAGTTGGAATCCCGCTATCATGCTGATCGGAGACGTTCTCATTGCAGGACTCTACTGATCAGATGGTTTGTCTGTTAAAAAGGAGATGGAATCTGGCTTGTCTCGATCAGACTCTAAAAGAATAGGTATTACATAGAGAAAAACAAGTCATTTGAGGAGGAGCAAAACTACATTTAAAATTACCCAATAATGCAAAAGAAAAGGCAAACATAGAGGTGTGAAAAGAGATTGGAGAAGGTGGAGAAAACAATCAAAAGGTCAAAATGGGATCTTTGGTTATCTTCCAGAGGCGATTTTAGCGAGACTACCTTCCTCCGAGGCTTCGGCTTCCTCGATCGAGTCCGACTGGCCGATGGCCCTGAGGATGGATTTTTTGGACGACTCTTGCAGCTCGCCGGCGATGATCAACTCGTCTAGGATCGCATAGGCTCGTTGGAAGTTGAAGATCAGATCTAACTCGCATACCTGATCAACTCGCAAGTCGTGTATCCAACCATATTGCAAATATCAAAGTGGGGGGGGGGAGGGTGAGGGTCATCAGTATTCCATCTCATCATCGTCAATTGTCTTCTCTTTTTTTTTCATCAAGGTCCTTCTCGTCCTCACGTTTCCGAAATACCGGTCCAGCACTTCAACGTATCGGTGGATGATCTCTAGCGTCACTAGTTCGTTGTCGTGTGGCCCGATCCCAGTCACGAAGAATAGCGACGCATATCGTCGATAAACCACTTTGGAATCTATCAAGACCCCCCCATTCACCCGATTTTCAGCAACAAAAGACGCAAGACAGGTTTTTTTTTTGGGGTAAGGATGAGAAGCAGAAAAAAAAAGAAGGACCTTTGTATTCGAGGACATTGCACATCCTCGTCCGTCGGGCCAGGACTAATTGGGTGACGTCTTTCACGATCTTCGCTTTCGTCTTCGGCGACATCGTCGTGAACCATTTGGCTAGTCTCACTTTGCCTTGTCTGGACACCAACAACACATAACTCAACTATCACATCAGAAGAGAGCCAGAAAAAAAAAATCAGTTTGGGTGCACAAGAAGGTCGACACCAAGGGAATGGTGATAAGAGAGAAAGAACTCAACTGCCATTTCGAGCCGATGGACAAATCGATGAGGGTCTTCCCGGACCTGTCTGTGGAACACTCCGTGTGTCGTTTGGAGTCGTTATCCAGTGCTTGATCGTATCCGGTCAAGGATGTATGAAGTTGGTTTCTGTAAAGTGGGGAACGCACAGAGATGTTGGCTGGGATGGTGTGGATGACTGCATGCTCCTCATGTTCACCACTGGCCACATGTCACAGCAGGTTCACTGGCTTTCCTCCGGCCTCGATTCCCCGCAGCAAGTCAACACAACTGATCGTTCAAATGGATTTCATTCAAGCAACAAACTCGGAAACAGGGCTTCTATTAAAGGCCATCAATCTAGACAATTGGAATGATTCTTTTACATCAAAATGTGTTTAAAAAAATAAAATTGAAGGCGGGGGGGATCCCAGTCAAAATCATCATGAGTTTCGATCAGGAGAAGTGGCTAACTTCACTAAGTCCCTCCTGGCAGTTGATCCGATGGGGAGGGTCCCTTCGGGACGGCGTCCCCCCTCCCACAGAGGGACTTGGTTAAGTTAGGAGAAGTGGTTGCTTGGCAATCAACCATTGATTTCTGGGGTTGTACTGGTCAATCAAACAAAAAAAAAACAATCAGATCCTGAATATAATAATAGCTCAATCCTCCTCTTTGAGATCAATTGTACAAGGTGAGAAACATGTTTGTGAATATTCTGCTTGGCAAATGCCCGCAAATTGAACTGAGAATGAGATGTAGAGAACCATGCGGTGTGTTATTGTTGCAGGTGCAGATGTAGTTTACAAAGCTCTAATTATACGTCCCCACAATGCAGATGCCCTTGAAATGTGGGGCTCATGGACTTTGGGACTGGATGGCGAGAAAGTCACTGGAAAAATTAATATAATCCCCCCCCTATTGTGAAGACACTCCATTGTGAGGACACTCCAATGATAAGGCCTACAAGGGCAGTCATATATGTACCTTCAGCGACGACAGTTAAACTCCATACAACTATTGTTTTTTTTTTCGGCAGGGTTCAAGCCGCCATGTCTGAACGCGTCGCTGGGACATCAACTTGCGTCTGCAACTGGCGACAAGTTGTTGGACTTCATTACCGTCGTCACATGGAGTACCCCGTGGTCCTCAGACGGGAGGCTCAATGGGCTTCATTGTCCTCAGACAGCTGCTCGACGATGATGTCTGTTTTGGGGGGGGGCGTCTAGAGCCCTCTGGGTCGTTCTGACCCATCTCGCGGAGACATCAATGTACTCGGACAAACATCATTTGCTGACAATTGGTTGTACTTGATATTTTACCCTGGATTGGCTTACTCAACTCTCGCAAAAGGTAATAGTATGGTGCTCAGGCAGAGCTGGCAAGCAGGAAGACTTCATATTGAGATGGCTATATTGAGTGTTTCTGAGACCTTGATCAAAGTGGTGTATTTGGTTACAATCAGGAAACCTCTCAAGTGTAAGACTCGAGTGACCCATCATTGCTTGACCGCGACGCGTTCTGACAAAGGCCTTCTTGCATCTTTGTAAGCTGGATTGCCCTGCATACCTCAGCTCAAGCTTCAGGGAAAGCGGAATTACAATCCTCAGACAGTTGCCCCCCAAGTCAGCACTTGTACGAACACCTGCTGACTCGTAATACTAATAGTATGTCAAAGACTCAGTATAAAGGGCCTGGACAACGGCAATACTTACACGTCATGGGCACCTGTGATGCCCATAAAAGCCCACCACTAGCCTTATCCATCCTGAAGAAATACCCGTTGTGTCTTTCTTACCAACTAGTATTCTTGCTCACTACAGCCAGTAACACGATCAGGTAATTTGATTTCACTTTACTGCTGCTTTCCCATATGGTTCCCTCATTCCAGTTCTCAGTGATCAGGTTTATCCGATGAGGTTTGATGCATATAAAATAAATACCATTGCTGATGACTGTTTCCTTCTCTAACTCTACTCAGTTAAAACTTACAAGTCAAAAAAAAAAAAATTGCCTTACATCCATTTGACTCTACTCAGTTGAACCTTACAAGTCAAAAAATAAAATAAATAAATTGCCTTACATCCAAGCCAGCTCCACCGACTTATTTATCTCCGAAGGTCACGATGTTAGCACTTAGATCTATATTGGTCCTAACCACCCTGATTGTCAAAGTGTGGGCAGGGACGTTTTTGAGCGATACCAATCATCCTTTATTTCTGAACTACATGATCCTTGATAGTCAAGCTCCCCAAGGGGTGGGTACAGTTATATTAACAAAATCGGACAAAGACGGTGGTCAAATCGTCTCGGACAGACAACAAGGCATCGAGTACAAGAATGAATTGAACCAGAGGCTCTGGGTTCACAATGGAAACGAAAAAGCAGTATTTGTGGAATTCCCACCAAACGGAGTTGCTCAACTACAATCGATTGAGGGAAAACGCCTGTGGCTTGGCGCTCTGGAAAGGCCCTGCATGATGAGTATCTCAAGGTGTGAAGAAATTACAAAACCTGTACTCAAAGCAATAAATGAAGATAGGTTTATTCTTCAGGAACCCAAAGATACAGGACATCAGAAAGCAATGGCTCACCTCATTCAACAGGGGCTCACTAATGCACAGCCCAAGATGGAACGGTTTTGGGAGTATCCTCCCCGAAAGAATCCCTCAGATTTCCGGCCAATTGCTCTATCCAAAGATTGGGACAAGAAGCTGCTTAAAGAGGTTCAATACAGTGGGAAATTGTGGTGGATCGTCCATCCTGATTTCATTTCAACTTCAGAAAATAGTGCTGAACTTCCCTTTCGCATAACTCGTGCTGTCATGCCACGGAGAGGTGCTTATCGAGTAATCAAAAACGTCGAAGCGAAGCTATCACAGAAATCCATCTCGGTTCACGTGGGGGATTTTTCAAGGATCCTACCACCTATAGCCGCTGGCAACAAGAAGGGCATAACCTTCACTGAACCCGGCAACTGGGCTGTGATTACTTGGTTCGATCGGGAAGCACCACTGGAGCATGACGTGTACAAGCTCCTTACAAGCTGGAACAACGATCACATGAAAAATATCAAGTTCGAGGAAGGCGAGGTAGAGCAGGCAATTCAGCTTGGCTTGTGGGATAAGTTTACACATTCTTGTGCCAAAGCATTGAAACAAGAAGGATCAGATTATGAATTACTCGGAAAGTTTAAAGCAGATTGAAGTTTGGAGCATCAGATTCTATTCTTAATCCATAAAAAGGAAAAATCAACAAGCAAGTTGGATTTGACTAACAAAGAAATAGTATCAGAGGTGATTAGTAGGAGATAATTGACCTTCCTTGTTTGGAGAAAGCTTACATCTTTCAATAATTAGTTCTCTTCTCTAATTCAGTTAATTCATTCATCAAGATTTGTATAAGCAATCAAAATTCCCATCATTGTTCACCATTCTCATTACATGATTCCATTCATTCATTTTTTTTTGAATTCTGTTGACAAAGGGATTCACAAGGTTTGGACCAAGTTATACTATGTCCAAAACTCATCTTATTGATCATATGCACAATCCTTTCAGAATCCATTCTTGATTCCAGAACCATAAGAAAACTGATTGGTTTTATTTTCCTGTCTAGTTAATGTATGTAGATCTGTAGATTTGGGAAGGATTTTCTCTGACATACATTTCTGAAATTTCTAGGTAATTTTTGAACTTTCAATCACAATCACAACATTGCACTCCTTTGATTTCTATTTTCACCTTAGAATGCTATCTATTGATTACAGAACATCAATTTGAATTTTGGACCTGTGACTGGGTACCCGGCGCTACCTGGCGGGTACCGCTGGGTGTGATCCCGAATTTCTGTTCTTGGCTGGAAGAAGAGGCAGTAACCGGGTATCTTTGGGGGTAGCCCCCCCCCCAAACTCCCTATTTGGTGGTCTGGCAGAGTGGAAAAGGAGTCAACCAGCCAGGCTGTGGATGTCTCTGCCAGATAGCTGGTCAAAGGATGGTTAAATTGCATAAGCAAATAAATAAACAAACATCAGAAAAAAAGAAAGAGAAAAAAAGAGAAGCAGAGAAGAGAAAAAATGGAGACATACCTGGGACAGAGTGTGAGGTTTGTGGAAGGGTGAGGAAAGGAATCCTTCCACATACTCTGGCCCAGGTATACTCTATGTTTGTTGACATGTGAGTGACATGGCTGATGAAAGGTGAGAAGCACAAAGATGAAAAGAAAACACTAGTCCAACACATTCCTCTTTGGTGCTTTGGTAGAAACAAACCAGGTTGCTGGGCAGCATACATTGGCAGTCCTACTTAGACAAACCAGGTTGTGGTTCTTTACATTTTGCTGGGGAGGAATGCCTCTTGGAAGCCTGTTAGAGACTTTTAACAACCTGCTTGTCTCTACCAGGTTGTTAAAGAGGACTCACAGAATCCTGGTGGAGACCAATTATCAGGTTGCTGGTGGAGAGCCTGCTTGGCAAACCAATGAGTAGGGAAAAGCCTCCAGGGCAGATATTACCACTGGTAGCTGCCCCAAGTACCGGTGGTGCTTGGTGTGGTACTTAGTACCTTCTTTTGGGAAAAAAGACCCAGGACCCAAGTCCAAATTGATGTTCTCTATCACAGTCACACTATACTGTCTCATCTGGCTTTTTTTTTCTTGGTGGAACAGTAAGATTCTAGTAGAGAAATCCATAAGCAATTGCAGTGAAACAGAATAGTATTATTTAGTTTTATTTTAACCCCCCAAAGCAGTTAATGTCAGAAAAATAATTCTAGCAGCAAAAACAAAACCTCATGTGCTAACCATATTACATGGATTTATGGCCAATCCTTCACAAGTGATGTAAATTCAGGGTTGGATTTTCCAAACTCCATACCTGTTTGGTACCTTTTTTTCCTCTTGAGGTTTGCCATTGTTTTGTTTTTGGCAAAATTTGTACCAAAAGTTGCCAATTTCACTGCCAAAGTGATTGTATCAGATTGCTACATCTGACATTACATCAGATAAAAATACCTGATATTACATCAGGAAAAACTGGGATTGTATCTACCAGAATTGATATTATATCTACCTAAAATGATATTGTGTCTATCATGAAAGATATTGCATCAGACCAGCCTATTCAATGTCAGCATAACTGAATTGATATCAGATTTTTCTATCTGATTTAATGCCCATGGGCTAAAAATTTGTATCAGATGTAAAAAATCTGATATAAAATCAGTTATTTTGACATTGAATAGGTTGGGCTGATGCAATATCTGTTATGATAGATATAACACGATTCTAGGTAGATATAATATCACTCCTGATAGACATAATACTAGTTTTGCCTGATCTAAAATCAGATTTTTTCATCTGATGTAATGCCAGATGTGGGAATCTGATATAATCACATTTGCAGTGTTTGTGACAGTTCACAGGGCCTACATATCGTCTCTCATTCCTTCCAAGCATTGTTTCCCTTATTTCATGTTGTTCCTTTTTGTGTGTGTTTCAAGGCTGAAATTAAGTTATTAACGCATTCAGCTCCTGTTTGATCAAACTGCAAGTTGATTCATAAGCCTATCCTATGAATCATATTTGCCACTTGCAGGAAATGTGGCTGGGCCCCTGAAGGTCCTCTGTCTGGGAGACTTTGACAAGATGAGTTAAACAAGTCATAAGAGCTTCACAATCTCTGTCCAGCTTTTGCCTTTGCCTGTGGATTTATGGATGCTATGCTAACAAAATTCAACTGCTACCAAGTTGTTTTCTTCAACTTATAATTGGCATGATCCACGGATTTGGCAGTCCTTTTCACTCTCTAGTCTTTGAATTCATTCTTCTTTTCATGGGCATGTGTATAAGATCAACAGCCTTGCTACCGGCAGTTGGGCACAAAAAATGACTTTTAGATTCTCCAGTGATTGACATAAATCTGGCCCAAGCTGGAGGTCGGTCAGTGTCAATGCCATTCATTCATGCTCACCAGTCATCAGACGGAGGGTCGACAAACTGGACGAGCCGACCGGTGCAAACTTCGGGCCCTCCTCGGAGAGACTTGAACAAGTTCGCGACCGGTGGTAGACAGGCGAGCCAAGCGACGGGGCAAGTCAAGCGTAATTTCGTCCCATTTGTCGGCAGCTACTCGCCGAATTTAAGCGCCAAAGTCGGATCGACTGTCCGTCGACCTGTGCCGACTGTGGCGCAGATTTTGATACCCTCTGGCGGGCATGATAATCCAGATGCTCTGACAGGCTCTGACCTTTGGGCTGTGGCAGGTCATGGGTCTTTGTGCGGTCGGCGGTCCACAGACTTCCACAGGTTCTAAAATAAATAAATAGTCTCAGCTCTCAAGTCTCAACCTTCAACATTATGATTGTCGAAGAAAGCTTCGTTTCACACGTACTGGCACTGCGCAGTTTTCCAGTCGGGCCAGAGTTCATGGCAGCTCAAGCTGCCAGGCTGCCAAGGTCATATCCATCTCTGCAATTTGACTTGTGCTTACATATTTACATGTTTACACAGAAAACAGATGTCTGGTGCTTGAGTTCAAGCAGGTTCGCGCCACCACTTGGATCCTTTGGGAGTTTATGAGCCTTTGGACAGTTTGGACAAAATCATGGCCTCAAATATATAATGAAATTCGTATGTACAACCCAGCCATGTTGCCAGCAGCATAATCGGTACAGACACAAGAACTAGCTGTTTACTTCAACGTCTTCCAAAGACGTGCTACTTTGTATTTTCCATCGGCCTCCATCTTGGTGACTGCCTCGTGGCTCTCCAGTTTCGTTCACCCCGCAAAGCATCTTTCCAATTACCGGCACACGTCCTCGAATAGCAATTTGTATCCAGCATGTCGAATCTTCAGCGCAGGTTAGCTGGTGAAGACATCAATCTGAGCACTATTCCACCCGGTGTTAATCCATTCGACTACGTCACCGGCATCATCACTCCGCGATACTTCATCCCGCTCTCCATTTCTGCCACGGCCTTCTTGGTGGTGTTTTTTATCTTTCATTTGTTAATTTCAATATTCTGTTTGGTTCTCTTGCTACTGCCTTACTTTCGTGGCTTCAAGCAATCCCAATGGCTTTTCAGAAAGCTCTACATCAAAGATAACTCGGGGACAAATGGTACGTATTCACGCTTGGACCACTACACTTTCCAATGAAGTTGAAATTCTGACTGGGTTTTCCTTCATTTGTTGCTCAAGTTTATAATACGCCTTTGTACTGGGTCAATGCTGGGATCTTAATGACCGCGTCCCAACTGATAGGCTCCCTTGGTGCTCAAGCCTTCATCTTGATACAAATTCTGAGTGCGGATTCGGTCAGATACGCCATACACTCGCAACTGGAACCTCCGTCAGTTTCTGGCACAATTTTTCTGACCAGTCGCGACAAAGCTCATCTGAATCTCCATTGTACTTTACGCATCTCCGGAATTTCTATAGTTTGGGGCTCATGTTCATCGGGGAAATGCTTACTTACTGGAGTCTAATGCATTGCTTCTTGGTGGCAATGTTAGTTGATAATCCTGCCAAATCTTCCTATGAACGAATCTAGCTAACTGGAGCTCTACTTCTACCCATTCCATAACGTCTTGGAATCCGTAGCTACTATGACAATAAGACTCACGGAGATCCTACAAAACATGTGACGAGATGGAGTCCATCACCGACTTTGATTAATTCGGTGTTTCTTGGCTTCCCAATATGTATCGTCGCCGCAACCATTGCTCTTTTCACGTGGTTATGCTCAGCCCATAAATTGTTTTCAACTGGAGCTGGCCAGATATTGGATTCTTTGAAGCAAGGCTCTTCTGTTTGGGATCGACTGAGAGTTTCATCGACGGAAAGTGAAGAAGAATTACAACTTACAACTCAGCTACTTCAAATCACAACGCAAATAACAAACCTCAGACAGGAAACCAGTGTTCATCTAGACCATGTGGTGCATTGCTTCCTCATCCTCCAAAGCGTTTTGCTGGTACTGTTATGGATAACTTGCATCGTGAGCACGCTTAATTTACTAAGAAGACAAGTCAAAGCGGATGGAGTATATTGTAACTGACAGCCTTCTTTTTCCTACTGGAATTGACATCTCGGGCGCTGATCAATGCCTCAGATTTTTATTTCCATGTTTTGGTTGCTGGTTAGCAAATACCAAAAAAGTAACGTTTCCTCAGGCAGCGCATCGGCCAAGACGAGTTTCTTCCGCCGTTGGCTCTGGCCAAAGATATCCCGGGGCGCCTTTGAGGAGCAAACAGTTAGCACAACCCCAAGTTTGTACGACATGGCAAAGAAAGACCGTCAATTTTGTGGGTATTGTTACCCCACTTACTCAACTAGTTTGTAAAACCTGCAGATAGAAGAATTACTGACGGACTCTCACCCCTCGATTAAGGATATTTTAGTCCATCTGCTCGTGAGATCGTTGGGTATGATCATCGCAATGATGACCATGATGGTTCTTTTTCTTTTGGGCATCGTCCGGACTGTCGATGTTGTTAGATCGTAAGCAAATTCTTCAACCACTTCTACTCTAGCAACGAGCTGAATGCGCGCCACTTAATACGCCGTTTTAGGCCATATTGGCGAGGGGTGGCGGCATGGCTTGCGACAGCTTCTGGTACATGGTCTGCTTTCCCCATCACATGGCAATGTGTGCGTTTTTCTCATCAATCGATTCCATACGCTGAAGTTTCTACTGGTTTCTTTTAAACTCCACTAACCATAAATTCGCTTTGTGAATGTATAGTGGAGGTTATACAAGGAAGAATTGAGCGGGGGATCGCATGATTCGGAAAATAAACATTCCTCCTGTAAGATGGACGCGACTCATCAAGATAGGTTTCCTCCCCGACCTTGGGATACCGATTCAACAGACATTGAACTCAAATTCATTTCACCGGCAGCAAGCGCCTCGCCTATCTCTCATGAACCCTAGCACTTCTTCAATTGCTTGTAGGTCGGTTGAGGCGTTCTCATAGTGTCTAGGCTCTAGCTGCGGCCAATCCGTTCGATGGATCCTTCGATTACGACTATAAGCACGGCTCAGAAGAGTTCCCTCCGTTAAATAGAATACTAAGTATCTGGACACTTTCCTATGTGCTGTTATAAACCGTAAAAAAAGGCAAAAAAGACTGGATTTGCTATGATCGATAAATTATAGTTGTATATTAAACTAAACATGAGTCCCTCCGAGGAGAGGCTTGCGTCAAGTTCGTCTGTATATGTAGATTTCATACTCTCCCCTTGAAAACCCAACTAAAACATATTAAATTTTATTAGTTTCCTTCAGAAAAAAACAGGAGAGAAACAGCGGGCATGCGTCAATGCAGGGAGGGATTGATGAAGAGGTTGTGTAGCCTTTTTTCCCGTTCGGCTTTACGTGGTAGTCCTCGAGCATGAGGGACCCTGAGAGTGAAACTCACCCAGGGACCCTGAGAGTGAAACTCACCCCAAGTCCCAATGGAAGTTTCCTCACTGGCAATTATGGCCCGGAGGGCTTCATGACTTTTGGCTAGCTTAACATAACCCCCCTTGTTCCAGAGGGCCGGGGTACCTTGAGAAGCGAACCTCTCTGGAAACAGCATCAACAACCAACCACACTCAGAGTACAAGACCATTTGCGGTGATCACATTGAACCCAGTCTGTAGAGGGTGATAAATCTGATGCCATGAGTGGCAACTGAAAAGGATTCAGGATGTTCTTTGCCTGTGACCACAAGAACTCGAAGTAAAGGAAGCTTGGCCTTGCATGAATCGGGAAGTGGTTATTGTTCGGCAGGGAAGATCCATGTTTTTCTTGTCACTGCACACTTTCTCTCTTGGGTCTTGACTTCGCCATCAGCTCTGCAAGGTGTTTTGTAATTTCATACTTGCCGGACAATTTGTGCTTGGATTGATGGTGATTTCCCGTATCACTCAGGTGGCAATTTCAAGCTTCAACAATCATGTGTTAGGCATTTCATAGTGGGTCGCAAGATTCACTTAAAAGAAAAGTCCTCAAGGCTAAAGAGCAATGATACATTGCATCACCATTGGCATTTAGCCAGAAGATGTGGCTGAACGATGCAGATATATGTGAAATTCGCGGGATTCTCAAGCAACTCAAATTGTCAATGGGGAGGGGGGGGGGGGGGCTAGAATATGGGAGGAGGTTGGATAGAGAGACTGAAAGCAAGTGGAAAAACAGCAGAAATACCAGTCATCTTTCACCCAAAAAGGTGTGAGCCTGACACGTCTGGTGATTTTTTGGGCTGGAAAGTTTGACGAAATGCACGGCCAGATACCAAGTTCACTTATTTGGGCGAGGTTTTTTGGATGAGTGTTTTTTGGGCGAGGGTTTATACTTGGCACAATAGTTACACGCTGTTGGTTGGTGTAAGCCTCGCGTCAGTCTGCTGGCGCGTCTACTTGTGAGTGATATTCAAAATTGAGAGACTCACTAAGGAAATTTTTGTTTTTATTGCTTGGACACCCCCAGTATTTACCACTGTTATCGACGACCTCTACACAACCGTTGGGGGGAGCGGGGAACGTTGCACATAAGCGTTGATTCAAATGATTTAATTATGTATAATATGCATCCTAGAACCTTCATCACGACTTACGAATATAGTCAAAGTTTGGAATAATGGTATACTCAACTGGGCGAACTATCATGAGTTCTTGGCCGTAAACAGGCCGGTGAGTGGTCTTATCGATAGGTAGGCATTCTATAAACTCAAACCTGGGTTTGTCATCTAGTTATCCAGCACGGGTGCGTAACAAGAAGAAAGCTTTAGAAGTGAGTTGTCCGGAGAATCCTTGCTGTCATACAACAGGTATACACAACTCACTGCCTGGGCACTCCCAATAGTCGCAAAGGTAAACATCTCCCTTTGAGGTTTCACATTCTACAGTTAATTTTGGGAATTTCGCAACAAATCAGGAAATGTTCCTGTGGGATATCATCTTGTACGGAGGGCATTGGTGCTTACTTGAATGCCCTAACTTTGTCTTCATCATAAATTCTTTATCACAGGTTTGTTGAGGTTCATTGCCTACACGTCTTCGCGCAAG